CTCCCCAACTGCCCTCCCCTGCTGGCCTGATCACCCCCAACTGCCCTCCTCTGCTGGCCTGATCTCGCCCCCAACTGCCCTTCCCTGCTGGCCTGATTGTCCCTAACTGCCTCTTCCTGCCTGATCCCCATCAGCCCATCAGTAGATGAGTGGATTAAAAAACTTTGGTACATCTACACCATGGAATATTACACTGTGGTAAAAAAAGAAGGAATTCTTACCATTTGCAGCAGCATGGGTGGATCTGGAGAGCATTATGCTAAGTGAAGTAAGCCAGTTGGAGAGAGACAAATATCACATGATCACATTTATGGAATATAATGAACAACATAAACTAATTAACAAAAACAGATCTAAAGACAGAGAAGCATCGATCAGACTGTCAAACCCCAGAGGGAAGGTAGGGGAGGGTGGGGGTAAGGGGGAAAGATCAACCAAAGGACTTGTATGCATGCATATAAGCCTAACTAATGGACACAGACAACAGGGGGGTGAGGACATGAGTTGGGGAGGTCAGGGGGGTTGTGGTGGGATAAGGACACATATGTAATACCTTAATCAATAAAGAAATTCAAAAAAATAAAAAATAAAATGTGATATATCTATCACCGTATATAATAAAAGGCTCATATGCAAATTGTCCACTTGACTGGGAGTTCAACCTGGGAGCTGGGCAAGCGGGTGCCCGCGCCCCCCCTCCTCTTCTCCTGGCCAGCCCCACCTCCTATTGCATCCCCTCCCCTCCCCCAGGCTGGCCTGGCCCGATCGGCCCGATCGGCCCAATCGGCCCGATCAGGGTGAGCCAGCCAGACCCCACCCATGCACAAATTCATGCTCTGGGCCTCTAGTGTTATATAATGGAATATTATTCAGCCATAAAAAAATAAAATCTTGCCAAGGAAACAACATGGGTAGACCTTGAATGCATTATGTTAAATAAGTCAGACAGAAAATGATAAATATCATATGATCTCACTATATGTGGAATCTAATAAAACAAAAATCTGAGCGCATGGATTTAGAAAACAGATTGATGATTGCTTAGGGGAGTGGGGGTGGGAAAATGGCTAAAGATGGTCAAAAGGTGCAAATTTCCAGTTATAAATTTAGTAAGTTATGGGGATGTAATGTGCATCATGGTGACTATCTGCAAACAGTGCTTTTTTGTGGGTAAAAATTCTTTACAAATAATAGTTTCAAAATTTTTAAATTTGAGGGAGTCTTTAAACTACTCAACAATTTAATTATACATTCCTTGAATGCTGAACAGTTAGCTTACTTCCATTTTTTACTCTCATGAACAACACTTCCATATAAAATCCTTCTTATATTTGTATTTATTTACTTAAAATAGCTTCCTAGAGCCAGGTAAGAGTGTGCACATTTTTAATCCTCTTGGAACAGATTGCTGCATAGCCCTTCAGAAATGCTATAAAAACGTATCCTTTGGGATGTGTTAAATTCATGCTATTGCCTTCCTGTTCGCTTCTGCAAGGAGTCCAGCAGTGGACTCCATTGCCAAAGAACACCTACTTTGGAGAGTAGACCTTGGGGCCTGTCCAGCATTCACTTCCTTTTCCTAACAGTGCCCCAAATTCCTTTGGGGAATTTGCCTCTGCTCCTTGTGCAGTCCTGATGGGACTCCAGAGTTGGAAGGATTCCCCAGGGCGGAAGAGAGGATGATGGTGGAGAAGCCAGTGTAGGAGTGCCCACACCCAGGCTCTGCCCTCGCTCCTATGCTCCTCTGCTCCCGGGGCAGGGGCCTAAGGCCCTGTTTCAATAGAAGGCTCACCTTTGGCCTGAGGCCCACCCTCTACCATGAGTCAGGCCAGTGCTGTAGTGCCAGGCATAGGGAAGGTGCCCAGCATATGTTCGCTGAAATGACCAAGGAAGGTGATGAGAGAGCCTGAGAGACTGAGGGCTGTGATGTGCACCAAGGAGTTCACTTTTTGAATAATAAGAATTATATGTCACGAGGGGCCATCAGGATTTTAGAGATGCTTAGGTGGGGCATGGCCAAAAACAGGTTGGGAACCACTGGGTTAGAGTGACCCTTTCTCACACTAGGTTTGTCCTGCCATCTAGTGGCGGGCAAAGGAAGAAGGGCAGGGACCAGACCACCAGCAGAGGGCAGTCAGGGCACAAGAAACTTGCAGTGGGAAAGCCAGTGGGTGAGCAGGTGGGGTGAGGGAGACCTGGAGCAGCCCTTGGGCACCTCAGAACTCAGGTGCTGTGTAAAGGCAGCAAGGGCAGGAATTAGTCTCGATAATAATTATAGCTATTGTTTATTGAGCACTTACTATCTACCAAAGACTGTCCAAAGTGCTTTCCATGCTTTCAGTCTTTCAGTCCTTCCAGCAGCCCCTTGTGAGGATGGGGAAACTGAAACCCAGAGAGGTCAAGTGACGGGCCCCAGTTCACCCAGCCAGTCAGTGGTGCGTCAGGAATCACATCCAGCATGGTCTGACTTCATGGCTTGGGTTTCCAGGAACACTTCTAGAACCACAGAGAGAGATTTCCTCCTGCATTCCTTCTGTGCCAGCACCTCCACCCCCACCCAACCCATTCCCTGTGGTCAAGAGAGGGTGGTTTTGTTCGCAGTGGCTCACAGCCTCATTTCCACCCTCTGTGCCTCTCCTGAGTCCCCAAGTGTATATTCTGAGCAACTCCAAAAGGAAGCTTTTCTCTCCCTAGGCCTGGAGATTGTCCATGGGGGAGAGGAGAGGATGGTGGGGAAGTCCCTTGTCTACAGGCAACAAATATAAAATGTTTCAGGCTAATGTTCCCTGTTCTTTCTTTCCTCTTATTGGTCAAGTGAGGTGGGGATGCAAACCAGGCCCCTAAAAGACTCTGTCTCATCTCAGATGGGTACTGTAGGTTCGCTTCCAAATCCCGAAAGAGCTTCTTATGCTTTGTAGGAACAATGACAGGGCTGGCCTCGGGCTACCCCAGCCTTGTTCCAAAGGCCGAAAGAACCAGCCAGCCACCCAAGAGGCCATGTGACCTGCAGGCACTCGCCAGTTCAGTGACACTGAGGTCTATTTAGGAGACAGCAGCCATTCCTCCTGCCTGGCCCACCCAGATAAGTAATAAAACACCTATTTTTAGTTTAGGGTTTTGTTTTGCTTTTCCCTTTTTAGAAATTTATCCAGACCCTTTTCTCAGGGTTGAGAGCTTGAGCTGCAGTGAATTACTGCTCCGAAGGTAAGCAGAGAGCAGTCTGAAAAGGAGAGTGGTCTTCAGATGCACTTGGACTGCAATTTCCCCTCAAGAATCAAAATGCAATAACTTCAACATATTTCATTCAACACAAACAAACCATTTGATACCTTGAAAGACCCAAAAGGCTGATATTTGGCATCTCTAAGGCTCCTTCTCCTCTGAGTCAGACCCATAGGCACCGCCATCTTTGCTCAGCCGCTCCCAAGACCAGTCACTGCCTGCCTGCCTCCCCCAGAAGTGGACAACCTCTGGCCCTTTAAGTACCACTTGCTGGTTCTTACCACTCTCCAACCTAGACACCTGTTTATTTCCCTTCCTTGCAATGATATGATCAATTAGCTTTATTCACTCATTTAGATAACCAACATTTATTGATCACCTATCATGTGCCAAGTACCAGGATATAAAGGAGTGCCAGTCACTCACAGCCAAGAGGAAGACTAGTAAATGAGGCGTAGAAATGCTAAGCCAGAGATATACAACAATACTATGGGGGCCCTTCCATCACCTCCTCTTTCCACTTCCCTACCTTTCCCCAGCCCTTGCCTCAAGCTCCTGCCTTCATCCACTGCAGAGCCTCTGGGTTTGGCTTGGAGCTACATGATTAGAGAGTCCCCTTGCCCTAGCATGACACAAAGCCAACCACAAGCTGAAAAGGAGTCATGGTAGGCTTTGGAGCGTGGACCACTCCGATAAGAAAGCACATAGGCCCTGGCCATTTTTTCTCAGTGGTTAGAGCATCAGCCTACAGACTGAAGGGTCCTGGGTTCGATTCCCAGTCAAGGGCACCTACCCAGGTTGCAAGTTCCCCAGCCCCAGTGGAGGCATGTGTGGGAGGCAGCCAATTGATGTGTCTCTCACACATCGATGTTTCTCCTCTCTCCCCCTATTCCTCTGACCCTTCCACTCACTCTAGAAATCCATGGAAAAAATACCCTCGGATGAGGATTTTTAAAATAAGGAAAGCATATAGGAGGGGAGAGAAGTTCCAATTCACCATCAGTACTGGTGCCAAAAATAAAGTTTGTGGAATGCCCAAATCAGTGGTGGGAAACATACAGCCCAAGGGCCGTATAAGGCCCACGAAGTCATCTGGTCTGGCCCTGCAAAGGCATCAGGAGCCAGTTAATTGAATGTTTGATTGAATATAGCAGCTAATTTTTAAGTTGTTAATTTTGTATGGCCCACAGATGATGTTTTAAATATCCAATGACGCTTGGCAGAAAAAAAGGTTTCCCACCCTTGGTTTAAATGAAAGACAGAAGAATGAATAGACAAATACAGTAATTGAGTGATGATTCAATAAATGGTTTAATGAATGAATCAGAGAACATTAACTTTCAACCCTGAAGCAAAACTGAATTTTAGAGTTTTTAATACTTGTGCTTGTTCATTGAATAGCATGTTCCCCCAGAAAGTTATCTACAAAGGTTTTTCTTTTAACAAATTAGCCCCACCAGAGTGGCTCAGTGGTTGAGCACTGACCTATGAACCAGGAGGTCACGGTTCAATTCCTCATCAGGGTATATGCCCAGGTTGCAAGCTCAGTCCCCAGTACGGGGTGTGAAGGAGGCAGCCACTAAGGGGTGGGCAGACTTTTTGACTCGAGGGCCACAATGGGTTCTTAAACTGGACCGGAGGGCCGGAACAAAAGCATGGATGGAGTGTTTGTGTGAACTAATATAAATTCAAAATAAACATCATTACATAAAAGGGTACGGTCTTTTTTTTTTTTAGTTTTATTCAATCCGGCCCGCGAGCCGTAGTTTGCCCACAGCTGCAATAGATGATTCTCATCATTGATGTTTCTATCTCTTTCTTCCTCTCCCTTCCTCTCTGAAATCAATAAAAATATATTTTTAAAGAAATTAAAATTACTTAGTTCATTGAGAATGTGACAATGCACTTGGGGAAAAAACTGGAGCTACGGAGGAGAGGTTCAGAGCCAGGGCTCTGGATCAGTTAGGCAGGAGAAGGCTGAGTGGCCACTTGCCATTCATGTTAGGGAAGAAGCTCCAAGTTCCTCAGGCCAGAGTCTGGTGAGGCGACTTGGCTATTGGGGAGACAGAGCTACAGAAGGTGCCAGGTTTGGGGCTTCTTACTTAACAGGTATACCATCCTTATCACTAGCTGGAAAGTTATATGTGAATCAAATCATTGTCTCCATCACCATTTCCATGTTTCCTACTTCAGAGAGAATTTCAGGGATGCCTTTGGAGTTGCAAACTATTGCATTCTAACATATCTGTTCTGTAAATGGAGATGTGCTGTACAGAGGGCCAGAATCAGGGAAAAAGAAAGCTGTCAGGTGCCTGTGGTGAACAGTTAAATGCCCATCAAGGCTTCCTTGTTCTCTGAGACAAACTGGCTGAAGCTTTTGACTTCGGGGTTTAGTCGGTGGGTGAGCTTGACATCACGGGCTGGCTTCATCTGATAGAAACGAAACATGTTGGCCATTTCCTCCACATCAGGAATGCGCAGCTTCTCATAAGCTTCCAGGGTGATCTTTTAAGAACAAGTTAAAAAAAATTAGTAAATTTTTTAAAAAGGAAATGTTTCAGCTCTCATTGAAATAGTTTGAGAATAAATGATTCACCTTCATGATGACATAGGTCCACAATTCTTCAGCCTAACTCCAAAACCCAAGAAGCTCACGAGTTTTTTTCATAAGGAATTTGACAGCAAACTGACTTTTCTGAACTAATTCTGATCTGAACTTTGAAGCTATTTATGCTTTTTAATGATACCGTTTAGTGGAAGTAGTCATATATTTTTCTGCAGCGATATTACAGGTTCCTGTCCTGCCCCTGATGGTGATGTTACATCATACATGTAGAACACAATCTATCTAGAAGCTGCAGCTTCTGAAAGCCAAATTGTTTCTGGTCCCAAGCATTTTGGATAAGAAATGATAGATCTGTCCTCCCTTCATCTGACCTGCTTTCATATACAGTCCCTCAGCAGCCCTCTCTGACAGTCTACCCATCTGGCCCTCCACCTCCATGCAGCACTCTCTATCCTTTCCTACGGGCTGATGTCCCTCCATCGTCATTCCAATCTTTGATTAGAAATGAGCATCTTGACTTCAACCATCCCAGACTCTGCCAGGCCCAGGCTCACACAAATGCTGCTCACCACACACTTACTGAGATGCCTTCTGTCACCTTCCACAAAACCCACCCCTTGAGTCCCTCTGACACTAACTACATCAATAGTTCCCCCTCCTGAATTAGCAAAGACAATTTCTAACTATTGAATCCAGTGTAATCTGTCCTTAGGCCCTAAAGATAAACCCTAACCTTGCTACTCCACTTGACCTTTGGAAATTGCCACACACAAACCACTCATTTTTGCCCTGGCTGGTTTGGCTCAGTGGATAGAGCATCGGCCTGGGGACTGAAGGGTCCCAGGTACAAATCCAGTCAAGGGCATATGCCCTGGTTGTGGGCTCTATCCCCAATAGGGGGTGTGCAGGAGGCAACCAATCAGTGATTCTCTATCACCATTGATGTTTATATCTCTCTCTCCCTCTCCCCTCCTTCTGAAATCAATAAAAATACATTTTTTAAAAATGATTGTCATATGCCATTTATAATATGGAAAATTAAGAATAACTTGCCTATGCAAAAACAAGAAATGGCAGAATAAATTTTAGTATATATACTTTAAGAATATTATGTAGTTATTAAAATTAATGTTTTTAAAGAACTTCGACAAAATAAAAATGCTCATAATATAACATTAAATGAAAAAGCTAGATACAAACATATATATACTGGAAAAAGACTAGAATATAATGTGTCAGATCTTATTAGTTCCTATCTCTGAGTACATGATTTTTGCTTTCTTTTTTATAATTTTCTGAAATAAGCATTTGCTATCCTATATAATAAAAGCCCAGGGACCATAACGCATAAGGACAGGAACAAGCGCTCCACCAGTCGCTATGAGGTGCATTGACCACCTCTTGGTCCCTACCCCCACCCCCCTGGCCTGCAGGCTCCACTGGGGCCGGCGATGGTAACCAGGTGGCTGGCGGCAGCAGTGAGGGACTGGGAACTGGCGAGCGGGCAGAAGATGGCCCTGATTGCAGGCTAGGCCTAGGGACCCTACCTATGCACAATTTCATGGGCTGGGCCTCTAGTATTTGAAATAAGAAAACAATTTAAAATTTTAGTAAGAAGACTATATGAGAAGCATGGAGATGACTTTAAAAATGTCTGTCTCCTTAAGTCACTCCCTCATCCTATAACTTTGACAACTAATATTCCTTAGTGAAATAAGGGATTCTTATCTGCAGATTTTTGAAGGGAAGAGATTTTTGTTGTGTCTCACTTTCTGAGAGGGACATGTTCCTTTTGGGGTTGGACAGACAGTTTCAGCCAGACCAGAGTTCCTGATGGGAGTTTCTTCCAGGGCATGCACTCACTGAAGCAGTTATGCCTCCTTCTGACCAGGGAGGGGGTGGGGGGGGGCAACTGTTGGGGACTGCCGGACAGGGCAGCCTCCACTGCTGCTGAAATCTCTCCGGAAGCAACCAGCTCTGCCGTGGAGAGCACACCATCTTGAAGGGGAGAGTGGCTGTTATCAGAAGCCTAAACATCCCAGGACTCTACAACCACAACACCCAGGGGCCAGCTGCGAACCCAGGAACGCCAGATCTCAAGCAGCAAGAATACGTGGACTCAGATGAGCTCTGCACCTTCTCACAGAAAGTCAGATTTCACCTTGGGAAAGGTGAGGTCTGTGATCCAGGCTGAAGAGAGAAATGCGCACAATGAAATCTAGAGATTTGGGGGAAGTCTGTGCCCCACAAAATCCACGGCCGTTGGGGCTATGATCCGCGAATGTGGAAGGGGATCCACAAGGCTGCTGGCAGAAGGGAGCTCTAAAAATCAACCCACAGCTGGATTGAGCGCAAAAAGGCAGCCTGAAATTTTACCAGTGTGCCAGCTGCTTAGTGCCAGGGGAAAAAAGACGTGCACAGAGACGTTCACAGAGTTGCACGTAGTGCCAGAGGGTAAAAGTCTCAAGTTTGCGCACTTACTCTGGCTCTTTTTTTCTCTTTAAATCCTTGCTTTATATTACTAAACCTAGAACATAGGATCACCCAATTGGGGGCACTCTAAGACTGCAGGGGAAAGTTGTTTTTGTGGAACCTGGGGATCAGAGCAGGGAGTAATGATCAGAGAAACAGCTCTGGGGCAGTTCATTCTCCCAAACCAGTATTAAGTGCAACAGGGAAAACAAAATCTAAATACTGGCTAGAGAGGACTTATAACCCTGGAGGTCAATCCAGAAACACTGCCACCCAGGGGTTGAATCACAAATTGACTCCTGTGTAAACACAAATAAAGGAGCTGAGAAACAAAGAAATACTGCCTGCTTGAAGATCAGGACTGTGGCTTACAACACAGAGGAGCAGTGGAACACAGGGAACTTCAATACTGTCCTGACTACCTGACAGGAAACAGGCATGCCAAACAGAACAGTAGAGGAAGTGAATGACCTTCACTACTGCACATTTTTATTTTTTCACCTTTTACCTAAGAAACTATTTTTTTCCTTCTTCCTCACTTGATTTTACCTTTTTAATTATTATATTTTTATTTTTAATCAATATTATTACTACTACTATTTTACCTTTTCTTAAAGTGTCATTTTATTTTCTCTTTATTTTATTTTATTTTGGGATTAGTGTTCTACATTCTATTTTAGTTTTTCCTTTATCATCATTTTACACTATCTCAACTTTACCTTTATGCGAACACTCTCTTCCTCACTTTTCCCCTTTTGTTGTCCTGTTTCTCTTACCCTATTCCTGCTTTAGATTTTCCCTATTCCTTCTTTTTAACCCCTGTTAAAAATTCACCCTACTTATATATCTAATTTCTAATAGCCTGCTTAAGTCCACACACACCTCTCTCTTCTCTTTCTTCACTTTTCAAATTTTTTTCTCTCTTCCCTTTTGTTGTTGTTGTTGTTATTGTTTTTTTGTTTTGCTTTGTTTTGTTTGTTCTAGGTTTTTTTGTTTTGTTTTGTTTTGCCTTGCATTCTCTCTGTCCTATTGTTGTTTGCTTGATTGTTGATTAGATTGTTTTTTGTGCTTGTTTGTGAGATTGTTTCTCTTTTTGTGTGTGTTTTGTTTTTGGTTTTGTTTGTTTTTTTGCTTCTGTTTTTCCACTCCTTGCTTGTTATTAGTTGTTGTTAGTTTGAATTCATCTCTGGGTGTTTGTTGTCTGCATTTTTTAGGATTAGTGGTTGTTCCATTGGGGTTTTCTCCCCATATAAATAGTTTTTGTCCCCTTATTTTTATTCTCTTTCTTTTCTCTCTTAATTTTTTCCTTTTCTCAATATCATTTTTGCACTCCATTTTTTTCTTATCCCCTAATTCTTTTTTCTCTGGTGGTCACCTTTATTTGGAGTTATTAGTATCATGCATACATTTGTGTTGAGTGCCTTGTGCATTGTGCCTTGTTGTGTTGTATTTTGTGCCTTTAAATCAACACAGGAAAGAGAGATCTATATAACCAGATACCCAGAGAAGAGAGATCATGGGGAGACAAAGAAATAGCCCGCATATGGGGAAAAAGGGAGGCATTACCAGAAAAGGAAGCAAATGAAATGGAAGCAAGCAATATGTCAGAGAAAGAATTCAGAGAAATGGTCATAAGGTCTCTGAAAAGAATGGAAGACAAATTCAATACAATGTGTAAGAACCAAGAGGAAATGAAGAACAACCAAGAAGAAATGAAAAATGACATCGCCGCTTAAAGAACTCAATAGAAAGCATCAACAGTAGACGAGAAGAAGCAGAGGACCACATCAGTGAGCTAGAAGACAAGGTAGTAAAAAATACCCAAGCAGAGCAGCATCTAGAAAAAAAAATTAAAAAGCAGGAGGAGAGCCAAAGGGAACTTTGGGACAACATGAAACAAAACAACATTCGCATAATAGGGGTGCCAGAAGGATAGGAAACTGAGCAAGGGATAGAAAACATGTCTGGAGAGCAACTAAGATGGCGGCATAGGTAAACACCGGGAAATTATTGCCTCACACAACAATTGAAAATTACCGCAAAGGACCGAGCAAACATCATCCAGAACAACAGAAAGGCTGGCTGAGTGTAAATTCTACAACTAGAAGGAAAGAAAAGCACGCTGAGAGCCAGAGGCGCTGCGGAGGTGAAGTGCAGAAGTACGGCGGCTCGCGCGCGCGCGAAAAAGGGGGTGGCGCCTGAGGACGTGGCTGTCTTTTTGAATCACAAACTCCCGACGGCTCTGAACTCCGGTTCCGGGAAGTCTCTGGGGACCCAGGTCTCATACGGGGAGAAGCTGGTCTGTCCGGCAGCGAGCAAACTTGAGGGCGGCTTTCCCTCAGAGGTGCTTGCAGCCGTTACCGGAACACTGAGACGCGCGACTCCGGGCGGAGAATCGGCCATGGCTGCTTTCTCCGCCCTCTGACTCCCTGAGACCCCGCCCCACCCAGGCTGCGGCAGAGGCTTT